TTCCCGATCCCGATCCCGATCCCGTTCCCGATCCCGATCCCATTCCCGTTCCCATTCCCATTCCCGATCCCGATCCCATTCCCGATCCCGATCCCATTCCCGATCCCGTTCCCACGCCGTGTCCCGGCCGGCAGAGCCTGGAGCCGCTGGATCCCAGTGAAAAAGCCAACAAGGTCCTGGCGCGGATCTTCAAGGAGACGGAGCTGAGGCGCCTCAAGGTCCTGGGCTCCGGCGTCTTCGGCACCGTGCACAAGGTGGGGACCGCGGTGCCACCCGTGGATCCCAGTGATCCCAGTGATCCCATGGATCCCACTGATCCCATCGATCCCACTGATCTCATTGATCCCATCAATCCCATCCCGAATCTGATCCCACCCCACTGATCCCAATCCGCGCAGGGTATCTGGGTCCCGGACGGGGATCCCATTGATCCCACAGATCCCATTGATCCCATTGATCCCATTAATCCCACAGATCCCATTGATCCCACCCCCCGCAGGGTATCTGGATCCCGGACGGGGATCCCATGGATCCCATAGATCCCATGGATCCCGTAGATCCCGTAGATCCTGTTGATCCCACCCCCTGCAGGGTATCTGGATCCCGGACGGGGATTCCATTGATCCTGTAGATCCCATCAATCCCATAGATCCCATTGATCCCATTGATCCCATTGATCCCATTGATACCATTGATACCATAGATCCCATAGATCCCACTGATCCCATAGATCCCACTGATCCCATAGATCCCACTGATCCCACTGATCCCATAGATCCCGTAGATCCCATTGATCCCATAGATCCCATAGATCCCATAGATCCCATTGATCCCACTGATCCCACTGATCCCACTGATCCCATAGATCCCAATCCCCACAGGGTATCTGGATCCCGGACGGGGATTCCATCAAGATCCCGGTGAGCATCAAGGTGATCCAGGACTGGAGCGGGCAGCAATCCTTCCACGCCGTCACCGACGTGAGTGCCGGGGGTCCCGGGGGGCTGGGGGTCACTCTGGGGGTCCCATGGGGGCTCTGGGGTCACTCTGGGGGTCCCCTCTGGGGCCGGGGGGGTTCTGGGGGTGCTCCAGGTGTCCCCCTGGACCTGGGGCTGCTCCAGGGCCGCTCTGGAGTCCCTCGGGGTGTCCCCCTGGACCC